CTGAGGCTGTGCACTGGGAAGAACCCCCCTCACCCCCCCTCTTCCCCTCCCTCTCACCCCCTCTAGCCATCCTTGCTGTTTTGCCTCCCACATAAACAGGCCACGGTCAACACTCAGTTAAGACTCAACCAATCGAAGCAGAGTAGTTTTGTTAAAGAACTGTGGTTAGTTGAGAGTAATTGGATTAGACCCAATCCAATAGTTGTCTTTAGATTTGCAATATAGTATTTTGTGATGGCTCTGGTGTGCGTGTCTATGTGGTTTTAATTTGAAGAAAGATGTGAAAGCGCATTCGTCATCACTTCTTATTCTCCTTTTGTAATCAGAGCACGTTTCTTAAAAGTATTTCCGAACATGTCTGGATATTGAGTTGCATCGCTCACACTTTATTTCTCCATGTCTATTTTGAAGCTGTGGCATTACATTTACACGCAACGTGACGCTTGTTGAATAGTCTTCGCTTCCTCTTTAACCTGTCTGTTGCTACAAAGCTTAAAAGTGAAAACGCTCAAACAGCACGTCATCAGATTTGGTTTGGATTTGGTTCTGCATTTTTTTTCTTTTTATTCGTAAAATAAATGTTATAGCTTTTTAACATAATATTTAATTTCCCTGTTTCGGTATCAGGGAAAGGCTTAACTGTAACAGACAAAAGGCTATCATTCTTCTTTTACATCTCTTCTCCGTTATTCTCTATTTCTTAACTTGTGGTAAAAATACATTTACAAAAAAGCTACTGTAATGATTTGTACAGCATCCTGATTGTTAAGCTACTATTTTTTTTCTGCAAATCAGAGCCACAAATGTTTGAAAAATATGTTAAATTATGTAATGAGTGGAAAAGAACTGAAAAATAGTACACTTTTTCTTTGCCTTTTCTTACAGTCTGTTATGTCACTTTCAGTGCTCTTCCATCATTATTGTTTTGTTAGACAATGCAATCTATTCTGCATGCTTTCCCGCAGTGTTTAAGGAAGTTAAGTCTCAGTTACAAGGCCATTAAAATTGTGTAACTCTGCAAGTAATGCAAGATGGACAATTGAACATGTATCTTGTCTGTGGAGATAAAGCAGCCAGTGACCTTTTTAGAGGTAGCTGACTTAAAGGAACATTAAGGGCTAATCTTGTCAAGTTACACAGATTCTGTAAGTGCAGTCATTTGCAGCCTCTAAACTGCCCAAATGTAATTATTATTTGCATCTTTGTCTCTCTGTGCTTACCAAAATTAGATCAGCGTTCTCAGCTAACATGTTAATGTCTTACTGGATGAAATTTCATCTACACGTACTTAGCCTCTTCCTACTGTTATCTTCATCTACAATAAGTGATCTTGTTAGGAAAGCAAGTTGAGGAGCAAGAGTCCCCCTTTAGTTGGATTACAAACTTTTTTTTATTTGGGATATATATATAAAGCAAGCTAATCAGTGAAATAATATATTGAGGCTCAAGACTCTTGTGAATGAAATCTAAAGTTATATCCTTGTCGCTACCTGTCATCATAACAAACACTGAAATGGCTAGTCAGATTTGCACACAAATATTCTCCTGATCTATGTCCTGAATGCATCTGCTTCAGTTGATCTTTGTTTGTTACACGGCATGTTACAGCAGAGAGTAGATATTATGTGTGACGAAGGTAGTGCAATGATGTGCATGGAAGTATAGAGTAGCAAAGAGTCCGTTTTGCTTTCCAAGGGTAGGATTAAACATTTATCTGTGAAATACATTCACATTTGCATCAGTTTGTGATATACTGAGTCTGAGACTTGGTCCGCTTACTAAGCAGTAAAATGTGCTGCTTATGGCAGATCATAAAGATGAAGGCAAAAACATGTCTAATCGTTTGCAGATTTGATAAAGAAGAGACATGTTTACTGCCTTGAAAGCAAAAACACAAGATAGTGTTTTGAACTAATGCTGAAAAGACTGTCGTAAGTGCGTGTTTTGGGGGATTTATTCTCAGAATGGGTACAATCACCAAAGACCATAAAGGTCATTTGTACTTGTAGTTGCTCCTATTGACCAAAATCGTAGAACTATGAGGTTTTTCTAAGAATTGACCCTTTTTAGTTAAGACTAGATCCTAAGTTATTCACACAGCATCTTAGACCTTGAGAGTTACGATTATGAAACACCTCCTGTCTTTTAAAGTCTCTCTTCCTATTTTTCTCTGTGTTGCTCTCAGGATTAACTTTAACTGAGATTAGTTAAGACTAGGTTGAGAGTAGTCCCAGTTTATTTTTGAGTACGGCCCCAGAAATCCAGACCTTATCCTGCATCTTTTTGTTGTGTCTCAGTGAGTCAGGGGCAAACCTGTATAAAGGTGGAAGCCCAGAGAATAAAGAGCCGTTGTTGTGCTGGTATGAATCATAGGAGTAAACTGTGATAATCTGTATCGGGGTTATCACAACAACACCGTAATAATGTAGCAACAGTTATTTTCACTAGTCTGAACAAGCAGATATGGGTCTGAATTTAACTTCCTCTTGACGTTTATTTAACGTGATGTAACACTTAAATATTTCATGTCAATGTCCCAATAGTGTAACTCTTAAAAAAAACAAAACAACTGTTCTTAGATATTTGATTAAATGAAGCACTCGTATTACCAAAAATGACCATGTACTTTGGTGTTGATTAGACATTTGAAGTCTCATTCTTCTTTTGGTATGTTGTATTTGCAGAGTTCCTGAAGGTGATGATGTCGTACTGATCAGCTGACAGCTGTCCAACCTCCCAGAGGACACGGATCACGCAGGAGGAGGATGCTGGGAACAGGACGTCTGAAACGGACTTCTACATCAACAATCCCATTGCAAAATCCTTGAAGATTGTAGAGTTACTGATTCTGTGAAGTGCAATATCAAACGCCAAACGAGTTCCATCGCTTTAACATGAAACTGGAGCTTCAGAGCTGGAACTTGAAACAATAAGGTTTCATAACAGTATCTGTTGAAGTTCAGGATGCTGTCGAGAAGTTTACTGGACGTTTTTTAGGTCTGTTCATGCATTTAGTACTGGATTCAGTGTTTTCTGAACTAAACTGTGGCTGCAACTCTGGAGCTAAGCAACGAGATGCATCGGTGTTTGTAATTTATTTGTCATGTGTTGGAGTAAAGATTGCAGTAAAGCTTCTCTTTTCATTTGTCCATTGGTAGATTATGAATGCAGTCTTTGCTGTTAGTTTGCACATTCAGCTTCTTTTTTTTAAAATGTATAATATGAGCAAAGACAGGACATCAAATGTAATTGAATTACTTACATGGTCAATATAATATCAGAAGTTATGGGAACTTGATATAAAAATATTAACAACATTACAGTTCAACACATTTATTCCATGCTTAGAAATGTATTAGGTTCTTTAAATATTTCTTTAAATTGCATAAGATATTCACAGCTGAGATTGAGTAAGACAGGGTGTTTTAAATGACTAACCCAGGACTACAGTATGAGTCAGTTTTATAAGCAAATCTATGAGCAAGTTTAGTTCTCAAGACAAGCTCCAGCATGACTTCATCTCACTTTGAGTGTGAGTAATGTACTTTTTACTTGATTAAATCAACGGTAATTCACTAAACTTCTACAAAGTGATCAATCAAATTCAAGGAAATGCCTCCAACAAAGACCTCTGTCGCCAACCGGGGTGCTTCTTGATTTCAACTAAAACATCCCTTGATTAATTTCAGCCTGGATGTGCCAGAAATGATGTGTGTGATGTAAGGTGGTTATACAACACATAAAGTCCCATCTCATAGAGTATTTTTCCTATGAGACAATAATGCCCTTAAGTCATATTTGATTAATCTAGCAAAGTCAAGGCCAGGATATTCACAAGGATTTCCTTTCAACAGATCTGGCTGTTTGATCAACAACCATACTGTTGTTTTCAACACAACATGAGTAAAGTACAAATATCAACATGCGTGTGTGCTTTCTTAAACAAAACAGGCAGATTTGTGGAAAATAGGAGTGAGCGCTGCTTTAAACACGGCAATGATTTTGGATTTACATATGAACAGATGTGCAGGTCTAAACACCATACAAGCAATTTAAAGGGCAATCTACCTATTTCGTAATTTCAAACGTTATGTTTATCAGGAAGGTTCAGTATGTTTGTGAATTGAACTAAATACTATTTTTCAGTTATAGGAATAAGTACGAATGTCCTTTTATAACATCATAAAAATCCGATGTAAGTAAGACGATATCCACTAAGAGGTATTATCAGCAATATGTACTGAAAGTAAAATAACTCTTACAGATAAAAACAGCTCCTGTGTGACTGACATTATATATATTATATTATATTAATAGAAATACAAAGCAGGCCTATGATGTTTCTGTTGTGATGGAGCTAACTGGGTGTACTTTACATAGAGTGGTCGGCCCTTTCACTGGTCCTCCGTTTGTTGAAGAAGGGTGATGATTAGTGGCATAAAAATAATGGGGGAAAACAACATTTTTCTCGAAGCATAACGTTTTTGTCAAATATTGCAACAATATATTTGTTTTGGTTATAGGCTATAGCCAACCAAACCATAATCTACTTTGATTTAAAGGCCCAACAAATGGGTATCACTTGTTTAATCAATGTGTTAGTGTAGGGTTAGTTTGATCTTGTTATGTAAAGCTTTCAAGTAAATGTAGTGTACTTAGATAGCATAAAATGGGGAACTAATTATAATTCATGATTAAAGCACAGAAGGGGATCAAACACGTGCCTCTCCAAGTGAGCTTAACAGTATGGGGTTCAATAAATAGCGTAGGAAAAATGTAAGTAGGCCTATAGTATATTTAAAGTGTATTACATTTGAGAAAAGAAGGAAAGCATACGAACAAGCCAGAGTTTGGTAACACTTCACTGCAGTAACCAGCAGTGTTGATCGGACGGTGAGCTCACGGGGCTGTGTGCGGTCACCTGGGGGAATTCGCATGTCAGCCCGGGGACACGCCCTCTACGTCACAGAGCTGCAGCCTGGGGAGTGAAGACGCTCGGCTCCACTTCGCTCCTCCACTTTGTCCTGCCTGCTGTCACCTCCCTCCGTCCACAGCTGCAGACAGAGGCGCACTGCTGCGGGGGAAACATGTTCAGTCACTTGGCACGGAAGATTTCGCAACTTGTAGTCTACTGACTCTCCACGGACAGCCCTTCAGCTCAGGTAAACTCACCTGGTTCAGACTTCCAGGTAACTATTTGTTCTTCTACGTTGTTGTCTGTGGGCACAACTATTTGTTTCGTCTGTTTTATTGTAGACCAAGTTGGACAGGTATCAGTAAAGTTCATTGCATAATACAGGCTTCTCAGGTCAGGGAGGAAACGGTACTTTAGCCTGTGTTGCGTTGGATTATTGTTTTGTTCCATGTCTGTAGTGTTAAATAAATGTTTGAACAGGTAGAACATGCGGATTAACGAAACTAATAACTAATTTCTCAGGTCACTTCAATGAGCCTGTTTTGTCTTTTTATTGTAACTATGGTCACTATCTTGTTCAACTTCATGGAGCTTACTTTGATATCAGTTTTATTCAAAGCAGCTTCTCACAGTAATAAGCTTTTAGCATGTGCACTTGCCTTAGGAATTGAGTCAATAAATCTCTTTTGGCCTTGGGAGAAATGGCACTGATCTCGCATAAAGCATTACACTTAGACTTTGTATCTCTGATATCAGATTTAAATAGACAAAACTGGTTTTGAAATGCATACAAGGAATTTATAGATCCAGTTTTTCAGATATTCTCAAATTTAGGGCCGCTTTTTTATGTTCATTAACAATTATGAATAGTTTGGTCTGTAAAGTGTTAGAAAACAGTAAACCTTATAATTTTATTTAATTCTAATTTCAAGGAAACAAGGCTGATTCCTCCAAATGTCAACTGTCTGAAACCCAAAGCTAATCTTATCACTATCATATAAGACAACAAAAATGTTCCTCTACTTTAATGCACGAGTTATTGAAAAAGTCCTACAGTATGTTTTCTCCCTGTCTTTCTGCAGACTCGCCTCTAAAATGGCCCAGCAGAACCAAACTTGTCATTATAATGAGTCTATGGGCTTCTTCTATAACAACAGTGGTGCCACAGACACTTGGGACAAAACGCAGCTCATCCTGGTGAGAGTGGTGGGCTCTATCTTCTGCTGCTTCATCCTGGTCTCCAACTCCATGGTCGTAGCTGCTGTCATCACCAATAAGAGGTTCCACTACCCTTTCTACTATCTTCTATCCAACCTCGCCGCCTCGGACTTCCTCGCGGGCATAGCGTACGTGTACCTGATGTTTAACACAGGGGAGTCGTCAAGGACACTCACAGTTAAGGAATACTTCATCCGCCAAGGTGTTCTGGACGTCAGTCTCTCCGCATCGCTGGCTAACCTGCTGGTGATAGCTCTGGAGCGCTACATCTCCGTCATGAACTGGAAAGTCCACAGCAACCTGACGAAGAGGAGGGTGACCCTGCTGATCGTGCTGGTGTGGGCCATCTCCATCTTTATGGGCGCTGTGCCGAGTCTAGGCTGGAACTGCATCTGCAACATCAGCGACTGCTCCAGGCTGGCTCCCATCTTCAGCAGGAGCTACCTGATCTTCTGGTCTGTGTCGAACCTGGTGGTGTTCCTGGTGATGGTGGTCATCTACACCAGGATTTACACCTACGTCAAGAGGAAGACGGCAATGCTCACGCCGCACACCAGCGGCTCCATCAACCGCAAGAGGACTCCCATCAAGCTCATCAAGACGGTCATGGTTGTGCTGGGTAGGTGCTCATCATAAAAATGCTGTCTGTGCACCATCATTAATGCAGTGAGTCAGAACATTTCCCACATTATCCAGGTTGTTTTGCTGTACAGCTGTGTGTCACGTCACAAAGTCCGGGCAGTCTCTGCTGAACCCGCTCCACTGTTATCTATGTTTTTCTGATATGAAGGAAAACCTTGGGCATACTAACATAAACACTTTCAGTAATCATGTTGAGCGCTTGTCAGTGACTTGAGGAAGCCGTACATGAAAGCAAATGAGGAGTCATAATGTTTCTTTTATTTTTCTTTATCTTATGTTATTTGCTACTTCATAGAGTTTTTAGGGCTTAAAACCATAACTCATTATTTGTTGTTAACTTATTTGCTTAATAGACCAATCATTCAGTCTTTAAAATATGAAAATATAGTAGGAGATGTCCCTGGCACATCCTATACAATACCGATGTATCTGTAATCCACTTTAAAGACCAAAGTTCTGTACAGAGAAAGAAAAAAAAGTGCTTGGAAAGTCCAACTAATATTCAATAACCAAAGATATTCCTTTTTTAAAGTATGTAAAACAGGAAAAATAAGCAATTCCTCACTTTTGAGAAGCTGAAACACAAAAATGTTTGGCATTTGTGTGTCATGAATTCCTTGTTGCAGCACTACTCTGTCCTTTCCCAGATTAAGAAGGCTTCAAAATGCTGCTTCCCCCTCTTATCATGCATTTTCACCCTAGATGAGGGAGCTAGATATGCTGGTCCGACTCTCTTTGTGTAAGTGTTGCAACAGGACACCTTAAGTGTACTCAAATCCTTCCCCTTAGCACTTTCCTTTCATAACAGAACAATACAATATATTTTACTTAAGCGTCAAAATAAGCTGTTAAATGCATATTCTCATGCAAGTATAACACACAGTGTACACATTTGAAACAGATATATTTCAGAAAGCACTGCAGGTCAGAGTAGTTCTCTCTTCCTACAAACATGCATGAGATAGTTGTAGGGTTTTTGCACAGTCACCCTGTACAATAAAAGTCTGTTTATTCTTCTTTGTGTCTTTGGGGCACTCGGCTTGTTGCTTGTCCAGATAGTTTGATACAGTTTGTAGCATAGGAGCTGTCTGCCTCTGTACACTCTTTATTCCAGACTGCTATGTAATTATCTCTCCCTGCAAGGACACTACTCCTCAGCCTGTGTGGCGAACCATCCACACCACACTGGCCTTCAATGAAACGTCCCCTCCTCCACACCCTTCTGAAAAAAAAAAGCAAGAAGAAGAACCTATACTTGAGGACTTTTCCAATTGCTTTCAGATGCTTTGCAGATTTTCCTTAAGTTTGTGGAAGTGTAACCACACAAGTGTCATTGTTAAAATCCCCGTTGAGGTTGCTTTGACTTCAGGGTTAAATGTAAAAAAAAAAGCCCTCTTGAAATGGGCGGTGCAGATAACACACCAGGGATATCTGAGGGAGAAAATAATGAAACCTTAAGACCTCTGAGGCATTCAGTACGGCCTGGGTCCCTGGGGTTTATTATTCAGAGACAAAAAGATAACTTTTGTTCCAGATAAGCAGTCTGCTCAAGTGGAACTGGAAACTGGACAAACCAGTTTGGAAACACTTAACCCACACGTTATGGCAAGAGTAAAATGATTGAGCGTTGGATAAGGATACAGTGGGACATTGAACTAATTCATTCATGTTAATACTGTATGCACTTACAATTAAGGAACCTAAGAATTACTTATTAGTTTTCTTATTTACATTTGAACTTTACTCTTCATTGCGTTAGTTTGGGGAAAAAATTATCCTTGTAATTGAATAACCTACAGTCATTTATTCATGGTATATTTGGGACTGTTGTGGCTTGCTTGTTAAGTGAAGCATCAAACAACTCATGCAGATTTAGTTTTCATTCTTTAAGTGCAACCACCATCACGAAATGAGTACCAACAGAGAAAAGGAACACATGCTTGAAATGAGTGTTTCTAAAACCCCGCTGATTTATTTCCTCTGTTGTAGATTAAAAGAAAAGATAGTCCGCTTTTAAACTTCAGTAGAGGAACAACTGCCAATGAAAGACCATTAAGTTGGGTCTCACCCAATTTAATTTCAGTTCACTTTATTTTTGACATGTGGGCCATCAAAGACAAAGAAAAGAGGAAGAAAAACGAGTTTAAGAATAGAAATTCACTGTAAAAGTGTGGCCAATTTTTTATTTTCAGGACTAAGTGCAGTGGAAAAACATAAAAGCACTTCTGCCCGAGCCTTTCAGTCTGTGTGCACATGTGTTCCTGCCTGTGTGTGGGAGACAAAGAGGGTGCTGTATAGAGCACCTCTTGTTTTGTTCTGCAGATGTGTTGAAGCGGTAGAGATGCAGGTAGTGCAGACAAGTTGCTACTTGTAGGTTTGTTTCCCTTCCCAAACACTTTTGGTAGATCTGTTTTGTGCCCAAACGTGTTTGAAATTTGAGTTCTAATTGGCTGCTTCAGTACCCATGTGACCTAACATGTTGTTTGTGTTACCAAACACACAGCACTAAGTATTCAAATAGTAAGGGCATTGTACTGCCAACCTGCCTCTGCTTGTTGTTATGGTATTAGGATGGCTCTTCTCTGCTAAAATGTGAAGCACCTGAATAACTGTATGCATTTGCTTTTTAACGCCCGTCCTGTTGACCAGCTCAGAAAATTGTGAAAATAATTGTGTTACTTTAACGGAACTAAAGTTGAAGCAATTACTGGTTGCTTATTAGATTATGACTCATCAATGTTATTAGCAACAACTTACACAGAAGATGTTTTTTTGTTTTTTTAAAATTGAAAAATGCCAAAATGGTCAGGTTCCAGGTTTTCTAATGTGGTTATTTGCTGCATTAGAAATGTAATATCATCAGGTTTTGGACAGGTTATCGTAGCTTAGGCAAACAAAACCTTTAAGTACAGATACATCCATTATAAGAATAATTGTTGGTAGCAGCCTTAATTCAAATTCACCCCAAAGTAAGGCATATTATCTCCGCCATCATAACTGTTTCCTGTTTTACGCTTCCAGTTGAATGTTCACTACTGACACAAGAGTGCAGTGAACATGGACTTCTCGTAAAGGGATTTTAAGTGGTTACTCAGGATTGTATGTTTAATTAAGTAATTGTCAATGTCTGTCTAAGGATCTGTAAATATCTCTAATTAGTGCACATAAGAAGGATACAAGAGAGTGCTACAAATACCTAACTGTGTAATTTTTTGTATTTTTCTCTTTGAAGGGGCCTTTGTGATCTGCTGGACTCCCGGCCTGGTGGTTCTGCTGCTGGACGGACTCTGCACGAGTTGTAACGTCATGAAAACAAAACGCTGGCTGCTATTGCTGGCTGTACTCAACTCTGTCATGAACCCTTGCATCTACTCCTACAAGGACGAGGAAATGTGGACAACCTTCAAGAATCTCATGCGCTGCATTGGTAACGGCACGCGGCGGCAGCGGTCGACGAAGGCCAACGCCAGGGCTCTCAGCTCGGGTCAGGATACGGGCAACAGTCAGCCTCCATCGGAGGAGACAAAAACTGACGATCAGGGCATTCTCAAGACCTGAAAATTGAGCTTGACATGAATTAACCAGGACTTCTGTTTAGTCAAACGACTGGACGTACTGTATGAAGATTCAGATTGGAGTTGCCTTGAAACCATAACAGTTGGCCTCAGACGGCCGGTGTTGTCCTCAGATAAAAATGACTTTCTTGAAGTGACACTGCAGGCCAACTGCTCCAGTGTAGATCTTAAGAGACGGAGATAAGAAGAGGCTTCCATGCACTACAAATTCCTGAAATGGATGCAAAGATGTGCTTTTCCATTTTTTTCTTCTGGATTTTACAGTTTTTGGACATATACCTCCAATTCATGTGCTTTGGGAGATTATTTTAGCTTTGAACTGCTCTGCAATGGCTGAAGAAAGTCAAAAAGTACACAGTGATACATTTCTAGTTTTACCTTTTAAAAAGGGTACACATGCAAAGGGTAACTTAGCTTTCACATGTGTACATCTGATGACTTAAAGTTTCAACCTGTGTCACCTTTCAAAAAGCTGTAATAGATGATATAGTTGAGATGTGTTTTAAGACATGTTTGTAGACAGGTACTATACAACTTTAGGGTGGCTTAGGAAGTGCACATTTTATAGTTTATTACTGAAAACACAGCCTGCGTGTATATACTGTATACTGCTGTACCATATGTATCTACCTGTACATCTTTTTAAATACTTTCAACAAGAGGTGCAGTAATTCCAACTGAACGACAGCCGGCATGATTAGCATGCTCAGCATGGTCTGATTATTTTGTCCTTTCAAATGTAAAGTCTAGAAAAGCACACCCTGCTTTCTGTTGTAAAGCTGGTTTGGCTGTAGGCAATAGATAACAAAGTGACTATTTTCTTGTGCCAGCCTTCATTATCAGTTCACCTTAACAAACAGATAAACTCTTGCCTAAAGCACATCATGAAGGCAAACTTGTTCTCCCCGTAGCATTTTAACACATCAGCTTCAACTAACCGCTGCTCACCTGTAGCGCAGGATTGTAAAATGATGTTGCAACACACTGGATTCCTGCTGGAGTTTCAGCAATACCCTGCAGGAACCAAACAGGATATGACTGAATGGACTACACTCACACAAACCTCACTCTCTACAGACTGCGCTGACGCCTCTATTGCTGACAGGGTTCAAATGGCTTCTTCAACTTGCTGTACAGGCCTATGCCCCCTCCTGTGGTAGCATCATGATATCATTAAGGAATACAACATATGTGAGTGGTGATTGGAAATACAGCTCCAATGGTGGTGTTTCTTTATCGGAACAAAATTATAGATGGCCGTTTCTTTGCATAGTAAGCTCTTTATAAGCTCATGTTATTTTTTCCAACATACCAATGGACATGACATGCAGGGGTGGACTGGCCATTGGGAATACCGGGAGTTTTCCCGGTGGGCCGGTACCGAAGTGGGCCGGTCGGACAATGCACTAGCACCTTAATTAACATACAATTATAGGATGGCCAACCCATCTGCCCTGCCCGAGCATTCATTGCTCATCACCAGTATTCCTCAAGCTGCTTACTTGATAGTTGTGATGTACTCCTAGTCCTAACAATAGCCATGTTAGTTGTTTATGTTTGTAGTGAAGATTTAAGAGGCTTTTGAGTAACTTCAACTGAATGGGACTGGTAATGCTCGGTATTTGGCCAACATTGCAACTTCTTTTCTAGATTCAACGCCTTTTGGAGCTAGTGCTGCTAGCTATTTTCATTCACTGAACATGCTAACGTTGCCACCTGAGCATGTTAGCATGCTACAGTGGCTGCAGCATAAATGTTGCTAACACCATACCTGGCACCAACGTTAGCAAAACAAAACCGAGATTGCTTGTAAATCCTGTTTGACTGAGGCAGACTGCCTCTTTAACTACATTCAATTCCCCACCGCTAAACTAGCCACTTAACTGTAAACTACATTTTATCTGACACATAAAAGCTTCAAAATTCACGAGTGTGGTGCTTAAGGTGGGGTAGGTAATTTTGGAGAAACCAGCTCGAGATCGCTAGAATTTGAAAATACACAGCCGGAAAAAATCTGCCACTTCCTTACAGAGCCCCTCCTCCAACACACACGAACGCGCACATGACCAATGAGGGCACGAGATAAGTTTGTGCACAGATGGAAGGCTGACAGGCAGGTAGGCCATCCAGTTATTTTAGCCGGGCCGGCTAAATTGATTGGTCGTGCATTTTACAGTACTACGGCTTCCACAGATGACATTTTTTTATGGATTATTTGTCAAAGCACTTAAGATATTCATTGCTATCGGGATGTTAAGAGCATTCCATGGAATATAACAAAAAGTGTATCTCGAGCCGGTTTCTCAAACTTACCTACCCCACCTTTACCAACATATTTTATGTTGTGGAACATTAGGTTAAAATATCTTAAACCTGTGTTAACCAAAAACCTTATCTCAGACATCTAACCAAAAACCCATTGACTTAAAGACAAGGGAACCGGAAGTGAAAAAAATGCTGACTCATTTCTGGGTTATAGCACTCATCCCTGCAGCAATCTATGGTTGATGAAGTACGGTTACTTGAGATTTCTCAAGAGCTGCCACTTTAGGAGGATTTACTCCATTCAGGCCAATTAGTGGTTGACCTTTCGTTTCCAGTCTCTTACATTATTGTCGAAAGAACTGGAAAAAAATGTGATTGACTCAAAGGAACAAGATAACTCGTCTCAATTAGACTGCAAAACACTTGCAGTAAAAATAACCACTTGCTTATATATTTGTATCCTAATATAGTAAAGCTTTCTGTGATTGACAGTAAACTGACACTGTTTGAATAATCTGTAAATGTCAACATTTAGAACTTTGTGAAATGCATTTTAACATTAAAACATAGTAAGTTATAAACTGCATATTATGTGCTTTAAGATGTAAACCACATATTGATTTCAAAGAGTGATGTTTAATATGGCATATTACATGTCAAATCTCCCCTCACTGTAGTCATTATGAAAGTATATTGTTCATATGCTTTTAATCGTTTTAACCTCAAACCCACAGCCTTTTCTTCGCTGCTCTCATATACCAGGTTACCTGGTTTAACAAGATTTCTCATCGCATGTTAAAACTCCTTTTATGCTCAGGATGAATCCGTGTATAGAACATATAACATTTTATAGTAAAGTACTCAGGATGTCAAAGGTTTCAGGTTGAGCTATGATGTGATTAAAAGTAAGTAATTTCCATTCAAAACAATGCTGTATTATAGAGAGTACTGTATTTCCTCTGCAGACCTGATGTGACTGCTTCGTGCTTCTCTGGTTCTGCATTCCCAAAAAACATGAACTGTAAACTTGTGTGGTGTGGCAGGCCTTTTTTTTCTTTTTACAGCTGTGCTGTAATTATGCATTCTTGAAGAGCCAATTAAATTTCACAGATGTTCAGAAATGCTGTCTTTTGGTTTGTTCTTAATCTTAGGGCAAACAGATGTAGGCAGAAAAGTAAAAAGTTTAACCAGTACACAGAGGGTGTGCTGTTATATAAATAAACCCTGTGCCATAAAAGAGCAAGACTCATAGAGGCCTAGTTCTAAGTTAAATCATGTATAATTTACAGAATTTGGTTTCTCCTACAAAGTTCCCAGCTCAGTTTCAACTGAACACAATGATACATACAATAGTATACCTGAAGAATGGCTGCAAGGAGTTTGACACGTCTCAGACTGTCACAAGCAAGAGCTTCTTCTCTATGAGTCGCTTTCGAGTGCACAGTGATACTATGGAAAGAATACTTGAAACTGCTCACAGTCTTTGAAAGAGACATTGGTGTTGAGTTTTGTAAAATAATCTTTGCGGTATTAAGTGCCATCTCCTCCATTATATTGGAGAGAAGGCAGACATCCATACGGCCGATATTTCCAACTTGGTAGCTCACATTTAAACAGTCTAGATTTAGAAATAGCACTACAGGAAAACATGATTAGAGTTGAACTGTCCCTTTAAATGGCCTACAATCATGTCTACCAGGGTTGAATGTTCTAGTTAACAGTCAAGTTAATAAATAAAAAACACTTTCACTTGTTAATTAACACTCATTTGAAACAAGATAGATGTGTTACAATGTCAAACAACACCCTGGTGGTGAGTTCAGGTGCAGCAGAGAACTCTGAACGATTCTGACCTGTTGGATAGTGAAGGTGAGCTGAAGCACCTTCTGAACAAGAACATGATCAAACTGTGATTGGAGAGCCTCCTCTGCTGATTGGACAATTAGGGACAAGGCAGAGGGTGGGACTCGGGGAAAAAAGGGTACTTAAGCTGATACTCAAGATGACGCTAGACACACACACACACACACACACACACACACACACACACACACACACACACACACACACACACACACACCCAAGCACCCAGTTGGTCATTCATTCGGTCAGTGAGTTCAGAGTGGGTCCAGCCACAACAGCAAACGTCCTCATGGCTCTACGGACAGCCGCATCCTTTTACCTGTGTTTCCTGCTGGTAAGTTCTCACATAGTAGAGGTTTACTAATGAATACACTACAACAGATTCAATTACAGAGAAGAAATGTGGACATATTGCCACAGATGTTTAAGGGTTAACTGTTAATGGACAGCACAATGATGTGAAATGAGGGCAGGAGTGATGCATTTTTTTGTATTTACACAGAGAAAGGAATATAAACTATGGTGTAAACCAAGTGTGTGATTTCCCATTTTCATTTATAGCTGAGGTCCCCCCCTTGCTTTTGTTGTGTTGTCAGAAACACTTGTTGCTGCAGGCATGTGGTCATGGGTTTGTGGCGTTTCTGTGTATTGCTTGGTTACACGACAGCTTCTTGTGGGACTGATTTTCTTGATTATAAATCATACTGTAATCTCGAAAAAAGGAAATACTGTTATTTTACTTAGCTGTATTCACCATAGTTATTTTTCTAGTGAAGTGAATGTCAGCTGCTGTTCAATTTGTACTCTTTTATCACTTTGGCTAAAAGCTCACATGCTTTAATGAGTTGAGTTGTGTATCTAATTTGTTTACATGCTCACACTTAAGACATGCCTCACTGATAAAATACTTTACACACATTAGGCTTTTGAAATGTGTTTACATACTCCACAAATGCTTTTAAATAAAAAAGCCTCCTGTCTTTGTCTGCAGGGAGTAAATTGCTGGCATGATTTGGACAACACAGAGTACGATTGCTGGCCGCTCAACGGTCCAAATGATTACAACATGATTAGCTGTGGTGGTACGTTTTTAATGATTTAATTTGTCTGTTTGTTTGAGTTTTTCATTGCATTTGATTTGTAGTTGCTTTTGGTGATTTTATGTGAGTATTTATTGTACAATTAGATGTTGGTTATGTTCTTAAACGGCCATGTCTATAACGCATTTTATTATAATCTGTTTATAGCACTGTATTATTATTGTTGTAAACATACAAAAATCTTCATAATGTTTTATAACAATTCCACAAAGTTATAATACAACACAATGTAAAGCATTTCAAAGGATTTTTAAGGTCAAGAATCAGAATTGTTGTTAACAAGCACACTATAAAACAGTGATAATGATGCATAATATGAAATATTATAATGTATTATAACTATGGTATTTATATTGCACTATGATCCCTGTAAAAAAAAAAACGTGTTAGTGTGCAACAAACTAATATGATTCTTGACCTTATAATTCATAATAAAATGCTTCCTAATATGTTATGACTTATTTTAAAGTTTTATACAGGATAAGTAGGTGCTATTAGCAGATTTGAACATATGCATTTATAAGTGTGCTTACAATGCATATGGGCATGGCTATTATATAAATTACTAAACAGATAGCTTTTCCTGCAGTGGCTAAAAATAATGGAGACAGTAACATTTACTGCATTTACAGAATGAATTACAGTGACTTAGTAGGTAGGGGCCAGGGGCGGACTGGCCATTGGGAATACCGGGAGTTTTCCCGGTGGGCCGGTACCGAAGTGGGCCGGTCGGATAATTCACTAGCACCCGCCCCTTGACAATTGACTAGCGGTACCTAGTCTGCAAACACAGCACACAGTGTACTCTGTTTGAATGTGTATGTGCAGGTGACGAGCATGTGTGTTGTCACAGGTCTGGAAATGGCCTGGGTGCAGCGTCCTCCAGAGAAAATATCCAACGGGGAAGAGTTCAATGTCTCGTACACGGTGACGGCCTCAGATTCTTTCTACGAGTACGCAGTCAGGAACAAGATTTTCCAGTTCAGGTGAGTATGCTACATAAACACCTGGCATCCTAAACCTCTGCCATACCCAGAATACACACACACACAAAGGAGAATACATCAGATAAAACACTTAATGATCTCCCTATTCCTCAGTGTTGAGCTTCTGTAATTCATTAAAGCGCCCCTAATCTTCATGTTTAAGCTCTAAGAAACGCATGGGGAGCTGCAGATTTTTGTTTGCGCTCCCATTGTAAAAAGCAACCCCGGGGATTTGTGTTAATTAATTTTTTTGTTTACCTACCCATGTTTTCTTCTAGCAATGCGTCAGAGGCAAAGAGGTTCTGTCATGAACACGAGTGCCCGGCAAACTGGAACAACGCCAATGACATGAACTGCTGCGTTTATCACGCCAACATTCACTCCTGTCCTCTTGGTCTTATGGTAGGTGCATAGAAGGTGAACAAAAGGTTTTACCAGGACAAATATTTTTTGGCAGGAGATAAAACATGATTTTTTTCTGGATCAATATTGATGTAATGCTCTTTTTGTCCACAAGAGGTTGAAGTGCATCACTACCTCACTGCTGTTTGCTATCTACACACAAGCTACATTTATTTTGTGTTAAAACGTCAAGTCAATTATGAAATTAAAACTTTTTTGGAAGAAAACATAAAAGCTTTTGGTACTTTTCGGCACATGCAAATGCAGTGCGCTCGAACCTCTTGTGGCAAAAATGAGTATTACAAACGACATGCACGCAAAGAATAATTTCCTAAAACTTTCTTTCGCACCTGTTTTCAGTTTATAAAAACAAAAGAGAAAGCAATTGAGAATAGATTTTGAATTTCTTACTTGCCTCTCAGGGCCTCCGTAGGGCTGTTGTTATCCATATTAAATATACATGTATTCCTTAAAAGTCTGTTGTATTGCAAAATGTCTAAAGTTAAAGATTATCGGATTATTTGTATGCTTTTAACAATTTCATGTTCAAACCTTTGAAACTTTAATGATCAATTTTCCTTTAAGTAACCACAGTTACCACAGTGCATTACAATATCTCGAACATAACCTCATTACAAAAATGAAAATCTAAATTCAAATTTGGCTATACCATTACACTGAAGGGAATCGTCACAGAAGTTTTGTGCCTTTTATTTACACTCTTTCTAAAGGTTTATTTTAAGATTTGATATCTTCATAAACTTTAGTCCCTTAAATTAAGAAATATGACTTTAGTTAGAATTCTGTAATAGACACAGAGCAACAGAGCAAATTTATAAAATAATTGTTTTTCAATTTTATTAAAAGTTTCTTCTAAAAGTTATTCTAGTGATCTACTCTGTGGGTTAACACAAAGCTGAACCCTTATAACATTTATCCAAAGATCAGCACCTACTTACACAACAGTTAAGTGTCTAAAGGGCATGTTTTGAACCTCCTGAAACTGATACTCTGTCATCTCTTCGCAGAAAGAAGGAGGCATCTGTGGCCCGTGGATTCCTGACGATGGTCAAATCGTGACTCACACTGTCTCCCAAGCAGGCAAAATGTCCCAGAAATACTGGACTTCAAAGGTGAGTTAACACAAAACAAAACTCTTCAAAACAATGGGTAAAGTCTTAACATGTGTTGATGAGGTTTGGAACATATTTGTAGTATTTCTTTCAACCCTGTATCCCTGCAAATACTTAATTTTAGTTTATTTTTTATACACAAAGACACACATGTCCCAAGAAATCCTAAGTCTGTCAAAAGGCAGAAGTTCAACTTTAACTGTTCTGTTAGTACGGGAATTAAAATTGTACTTTGCAAAACATGAAAGACATACTTTTGATCAAAGTGACAGATTCTCTGTGAAGCCTGACCTCTGTTATGCCGGTTTGTCATGATGCAACCCGGCACCAGGATGTAAGTACTTGTCTGCTAAGGAAATCACAAGACAAAAGGAATCCATACTTTGAGATGCGACCTGTCAAATTACTGTAAAAGTAAAGAAAACCAAGTAAAAAAGGCATTGAATGTTTAATACAATTTTGTTGTTGTGGTAACAATTTGACAGCAGATTCTATACAATGCTAAAAAGACGTATAAGGACAAATAATTATTTTAATGATTGACTCATGCATATACAGCGCTTATTGGTTCCAGATCGTTTGGATCAGACAGCTTTATAAAATAAAGTCTGATGGTTAGCTGTTGGTTTGTTTTCTT